CTCCATTTCATCCCGGCTCTGCCACTTCTCCCTAACTGAGGAGCCTTGGACAAGTTGTGTCAGCCCATCTATTTTTCCGTTTTCTCCTCTGTAAAATGGGGGCAATATTTGGGCCAACCTCAGTTATTAAAACGACGACATGAGTCGTTACACAGAGCACTCAGAAAAGCCCAAGCAGGCAGTAGACTTGTATTTATATAATACTTAGATTTAAATATAAGTATTAGCTGTTCTTATTTTACTTCTTTGTGTTTCTCTGCACCATGGTCTCACGAAAATGAGTTTCATCATTGACCACTTCCTTTCCTTCCTTTGGAAACCCTGATGCCTTCTCTTTGTCTCACAAGCCTTGGTCGGGGGAAGGCTGGCACTACCAGCGACTGAAGGGCTCCGGTCATGCACTTTGGTTTCTGCACAGTTTTGCTCCAGTCTTGGTCTGGCTGCTTCCCATTCTTTTTTTTTTTTTTTTTCCCTGTGCATCACATGTATTTACTCCCGTGCTTATTCATTCAGTTGATATTTATTTTCATGTTCTGTTTCGTTATAGGTCACTACAAGATACTGAATATAGCTCCCTGTGCTCTACAGTAGGAACTTGTTGTTTATCTATTTTATATATCGTAGTTAGTACCTGCAAATCTCAAACTTCCAATTTATCCCCTGCCACCCCCTCCCCTTCCTGGTAATCATAAATTTGTTTTCTATGTCTGTGTCTGTCTGTTTCTGTTTTGTAAATAAGTTCATTTGCCTTTTTTTAGATTTCACATATAAGTGATATCATATGGTATTTTTCTTTCTCTTTCTGGCTTTCTTAGCTTAGAATGACAATCTGCAGGTCCATCCATGTTGCTGTAAATGGCATTATTTTATTCTTTTTTATGGCTGACTAGTATACCACAAATATACCACAACATCTTTATCCAGTCATCTGCTGATGGACATTTAGGTTATTTCCATGTCTCAGGTATTGTATATAGTGCTGCTATGAACACTGGGGTGCAGGTGTCTTTTCAAATTAAAGTTCCCTCTGGATATATGCCCAGAAGTAGGATTGTAGGATCATAGGGTAAGTCTATTTTCAGTCTTTTGAGCAATCTCCATACTGTTTTCCACAGTGGCTGCACCAAACTGCATTCCCACCAGCAGTGTAGGAGGGTTCCCTTTTCTCCACAGCCTCTCCAGCATTTCTCGTTTGTGGACTTTTGAATGATGGCCATTCTGGCTGGTGTGAGGTGATACCTCATTGTAGTTTTGATTTGCATGTCTCTGATAATGAGCGATGCTGAGCATTTTTTCATGTGCCTATTGGCCATTTGCATGTCTTCACTGGAGAACTGCTTGTTTAGGTCTTCTGCCCATTTTTGGATTGGGTTGTTTGTTTTTCTTATTAAGGTATATGAGCTGTTTATATATTCTGGAAATTAAGCTTTTGTCAAGTCTCCTCTTTTGCAAATATTTTATCCCATTCTGTAGGCTGTCTGTTTGTTTTGTTTATGGTTTCCTTTGTTGTGCAAAAGCTTGTAAGTTTAATTAGGTTCCGTTTGTTTATTTTTGCTTTTATCTCTATTGCCTGGGTAGACTGCCCTAGGAGAGCATTGCTGAGATGTATGTCAGAGGATGTTTTGCCTATGTTTTCTTCTAGGAGACCTATCGTGTCTTGCCGTACATTTCTCTGTGCTTCCCATTCTCATGCACATGATGGTCTTGGGATGTCAGGCCCCAGGGAGCTGTTTGTATGAACTCATTACTCCTCCAAACAGCGAGATTCTAAAAGGCGTCTGTGCACACCTTGCACTGTGAGGGCTCCCCAGAGGCTGGCTCACTGCCTTTTCAATGTGTACAGCGTCCTGACCTCTCAGCAGACTAGGTCCCTAAGTGCCTCCCTGCCCAGCTGACAGGGAGGCTTCTTGAAAACATGGTTCTGTATCCGTGGTTTCCTAATGCCAACCCCAACTTCATGAGAATCATCCTGGAACCAGATTCTTCGGCCCAAACCCCGGAAGTTCTGATGCGGTGGGGCCGAGCAGGGCACAGGGATTTGTGATGCTGTGTACGTTTCCATGGCAGTTGTATTGTGCGGCCATGTCTGGAGCCACGGCCTTCCCCTCGCCCCTCACTGGCCATTGTCACTGGGTTTCCCTCTCGCCTCACAGTTGATGCTGCCATTTCAAGTGTCTATGTAATCACCTTCCTGGGAAGCAGTCCTGTGGACCTTTTAAAATCCTGGGCTAATTTGATTTCTCTGAAACATGCGACACGGATGACAATGCTCTGCATTTTTGTCCCCTCTCCTGCCTTGGTTCTAGGGCCACCTCTGCTGGTGCTTTCTGAGTGCTCCTTAGCCTTCTTTTAAATGTTAATACATTTCAAATGCTCCCCATATCCGTCTTCTCTTTGCATTGACTCTCCCTCTGACTCAGCTGCATCCCCAACTTTCATTTAAACTTACGTGGTCTTGCCTCTTAGTTTCACTGCACTTCCAGACCTCTGTACCCCATATAGCTTACCATTCCATGGACGTTTGCACTTGGGGGCTGTGATGGAGACCATTAACTGGTCCCAAGCAACGATTCTCTCTTTCTTCTGTTTAGTAGAACCTCCCAAGTTTTAGATGGACAGATGGCTGCCAAGCTATAAAGTCTGCTCCCAGCCTCATGGGCCATGGACTGAGACTGAGACGGTGGGATGAAGGGGAAGTGACATGTGCAACTTTGGGTCACCTTCTGAAGGACACAGATCCTTGTCCTTTCCCACTGGCTAAGAGGAACAGCCACCGTAGCAGCTGTGGACCCAGAGAGGGAGGCTGCACATCAAAAAGGCTGGGGACTCAATCTCTTTTGACTTCAGTAAATGGGGAATAAACATTTCTTTTATTTAAAACTCTGACTGCCGGGGGTCTTTTTGTTATGACAACTTGACCTTACTGATACAATACTCATGGAAGCTAGTCTAGTCTAGTTTGGACTCTAGCTTGGACTCTAATTTGAGTCCAAACTAAAAACATCCTCTTCCCTCCTCAAACCAGCTAAAATTAGCCAATGGCCTGTGCCCCTTGTAAAAGTAAATGACTGGTGACGAATAAATGAAGTCCAAAAAGAAGGCTGAATACGAGGGCAGCAGGTGTCGGCCAATCTAAGGTCAGCTTGGACTGAGTTGTATGGAAACTTGTAGGCCAGCTTGACCGAGGTCTCTGGCCGTTTGTCAAACGTACCTGCTCTTGGTTGAGCTGACAACAGACATAGGATGGTTGATGTCATCCTTCACCACCATGATGTTGTTCTGGGGACAGAGCAGAGAAGGCAGGTTGCCAGGGCCTCACACTGAACCCCCTTGTGCCCTCACTCCCCCGGCCCCCGGCCCCCGGCCCCCCAGGGAAGGGCCACGTCGCATCACTACACCAGCAGGGAGATGGAGGACTCACTTTGTATTTGCGGAGTATTGAGGAGTGGTTCATGATTCGGTCTGTGTCGGCTGCATCCCGGGGCACCACCACGATCCCAAAGTCCCCAACGATTACTTCCATCTGAAGAAACAGAGAGAGAAAGAGAGAGAGAGAGAGAGAGAGAGAGAGAGAAGGAGGCCCTTGGTGAGATCATGACACCAAACCCGTACCAAGCAACTACTTAGCAGGGTGGAGCTAGCTTCCATTGGAACCCCAAGCCTTAGTCCCAAACTTGTCTTTTTATCCCCATCAAGTCAGCTCCTTCAAGTAACAACCTGTAACAGTGTTCATGGAATGAGTGGAAACTTCACCTGGCACATAGAAGACACTTAATAAATACCTCTGGACTGAATTAATAAATGCGCTCCTGCGTGTTTGGGCAAGATCTCGCCATTTCCTGCAGCTCCTGTTGAGCTCATAATGCTGAAGAGAGCATGACACATGGTCCTCACCTGGTAAATACCCTCTTGGGTGACACAGAGCTGCCCAGCAAGTAGACCCCACCCCCAGCTGGTCTACCGAGAGGGGCTGGAACCTACCTGGGCTCAGCCACGGCAGAGCCGCGGTGGGACTTGGGGCAGCGAAGAGCAGGGAAGGGCTTGGAAAGCAACAGCGCGTGCACAGGCAGTGACGGGGGAGGATTACCATGGGGTCACTTCTGAAATCAGACTCTGATAGACGTTTGCTACCATCATGAGAAAGGAAACTTTCTCATTAAAAAGGCTTTTTTTTTTTTCCTGATTACAGACGCAACATGAGCTTGGGAAACTCGGGGGAAAAAAGAAAGAAAGAAGGAAAGAAAAAGAAAGGAAGGAAGGAAGGAAAGGAAGGAAGGAAAGGAAGGAAAGAAAGGAAAGAAGGAAAGAAAGGAAGAAATCACAACCACACAATCCAGATAATCACTGTTACCATCTCAGTATTTCTGTCCAGGGTTCTCTTCTCTACAAATAAGTGTGTGTGTCCACAATTGGATTGAACTGCAAAATTCATCATCGTACCTACATATTTTTTTCATTTAGCATTATATTGTATTTTCTCATACTGTTAAAAAAATACGGGAAAATACATTTTGACAATCTGTATATTTCACTGCCCGCCTGCACTGTGACATATCATGATATATTACACCAAACTCATATTATAGAGCGTGTACAGCTACTTCTGATTTTTTGCAGTTCTAACAACACTTTGTTGAAGATCTCCATACATAAATCTTTTACCACATCTCTGGGTTATTTCCTTAGGATAGGAAGTAAAATAACTGGATGAAAGGATACGACCTGGACATACTTCAAGCTCTTGAGACATATCACCAAGCTGCTTTCTGGAAAGTTGTGCCAATTTTTATGTTCAAAGAGCCTGAGAGTTAAGACATTTAATAGACTTGTGTCTAGTCTGGGCATATTACTGTTTAGATCTTGCCAATTAAGGATCCCAGAGGGAGGGAGAAGATGGGGAAAGGCAGGCTGCTTCTGAGCAGTGCAGCTCATTGAGCAAGACATGCTCTAGGGGCAAAAAAACCCAAACAAACAGGTTCTTCCTAATAATTCTCCAAACAAGTGCCACAAAAACACATTATGGAGCACGATGGCCGTGTCTTCCCTATCAGAGGATTTCTGTCCCAGCATAATCCCACTCCTAAGCCCGATTCACTGATTGTGTGTGTGCGCACGTGAGTGCCCTTGGCTATTTCCACCCGCCTTTACCCTGCTTCTCCCATTGCTTACACCTGGAGCTAGAGCTGCAGTGAAACACTGGCTGAAGGTGCCCCAGGAAGGAAGTTGTGGAGAGAAATTAAGAGCTGGGTGTACAGTATCAGAGCCCCCACTGGATCACGCCATTTGGAAGATACAGAACATTACACAACATGCTGCATTTATCGGTGGCATTCAGATCCCATAACTGGCCCCAGGAACATTAGGGAGAGGCAGGGCAGAGAGCTGGAGGTAGACCCACCTCCTCCTGCCACAGAATTTAGAACGTTGCGCTGGGACTCACCACATAGAAGGTGATCAAAGACACTGGTGCTCAAACTTGGCTGCACGTCGTGCGGCTCCCTTGTGGAGCTTTAAAAAAAAACCCAAAGCCCAGCTCAGACCCAAGATCAATTAGATAAGAGTCCCTGGGAATGGGGCCCAGGCATCAATATTTTGTTTTTATTCCCTAGGTTTTAATTCCAATGAGCAGCCAAGTTTGAGAGCCAGTGATCTAAGTGCTGAATTAAAACTCCAGGGGGACTGTTAGGATGGCAAAAGAGACAGAAAGGAGAAGGCAGGAGAGGAGAGAAGAGGAGGGAAGGGAAGTGCAGGGGATGGGAGGAGAAGGGAGGAGAATCCATCTGAGCGGGTGGACACGGAGGTTCCTCAACTGGCTGTGCAGATGTTTCAGACCCCTGCTGTCAACTGCATAACGTAGGATGTGAATTCAATTGGATCCTGAGAATTTGATGGAAGTTTCATATATGATGTGTGAAATAATGGGGTCATTTAAAGTGAGCATTCTAGTTTAAAGCATGAAAGCAATGGCTCAGAGTGGCGGGAGCCCTCACCGGGGGGGACGGCCCAGCGGGCCACATCAGTGCACCTGCTGCTTTCTACTCAGGAACTAATGACCTGAGCGGCCAGTCAGTGACAGCGCGGGCTGCTCCATGGGTGGCAGGCCGAGGGACACCTCGCTGTTGGAGACAGATTCCTTTTCCAGAAACAGGTGGCAGACTTGCCGCCTAGGAAGCACAGATGGGGAGAAGGAGACAGGTCCACAAGACAAGACACACAGCTTTACCACATCCAGCTGGCATCTCTGCAGGGGTTTGGACCAGCGACAGCTGACCTTTTCTGCTCCTTTGACCGGACCCGAGGGCATGGGCTTGAATTTCCTCCTGGAGGGTGTTCGTGTGGGTATGTGTTTGGGGTGGGGGTGGTGCCAGGTGCTAGAGTTGGTGAGGTGTGCCCTCCGTCCCATAGGTACCCATCTCCCTCCAGGGGCTTAGCTGTCCTGCCCACCCGCACCCCCATTCTCTGCCTCCTGTCTTCACCTGGCCTCCAGGATCCACCCTCCCTTGATCGCCCTCCCACCTCGCTGGCTGCTCTTCTGTGGGCTCCTCATGCTGGTTCCTTCTCAGCTCCCAGTCTTGAATGACTGGAGTTCCCCCGGCCTCAGTCCCTGGACCTCTTGTCTTTTCTCTGTACACCTACCTTTAAAGATTTCATTCCATTTCAGGGCTTTAAAGACACACGAAAGGCTCCCAAATTTATTATCTCCAGCATAGACTTCTCTCCTGAACTCATACATCCTAGTGACCTTTCCAACATGCCCACTTGGACGAGATATCTCAAACCTAATACGTCCACAAGCCCCTGAACCCTCTGACATCCATCAATCAATCCCCTCTACCGCCCCTCCGCCCCCGCCACACACACCAAGATGCTTTTCCAGTAGTCTCCTACAGTTCTCATTTCAGTGAATGGAAACTCTCTCCAACTGCTCAGGCCAAAGCCTTGGCATCTTCCTTGATTCATCCCTTTCTCTCATATCCCACATCTAATCCATGCAGCAACCCAATCAACTTGGTCTTCAAAACAAATCCAAGAACCTCTCATTTCTCACTATTTCCATCACTTCTACCTGGTCTAAGCCTCCTTCGGTAGGTTAAGTAATGGCCCCCTCCCCAAACATCCAGGTTCCTAATCCCTGGAACCTATTGAATGTTACCTTACGTGGCAAAAGAGACTTTGCAGATATGATCACACTACGAATCTTGAGGTTATCCTGGGTGATGGAGGTGGGCCCTAATGTAGTAACTCGTGTCCTTACAAAAAGAAGGCAGAGGGAGATCTAACACAGGAGAGAGAAGGTGGTGTGAAGATGTAGCAGAGAGGACGCTACATTGTTGGCCTTGAAGACGGAGAAGGGGCTGAGGAATGCGACAAATGTAGCTCTCAAAGAAAGGCAAAGGCCAGGAGACAGATTCTCCCCAGACCCTCTGCCCTGACAACAACTTAGTTTTGGTCCAGTGAAACCTATTTCGGACTTCTGACTTCCAGAAGTGTAAGAGAATAAATTGGTGTAATATATATTATCATATTTAATCATATGATATATAATTGAAGTATTGTCAGTTTACAATGTTGCGTCAATTAAATCAGTGTAGTTTTAAGCCACCAAGTTTGCAGCAACTGCAAACTAATTCATCTCTATCCTCTCTCACTCGGATTTCTCTTGTTTCCCTGTTTTGATCTTGCCTTTGGCAGTCTATTCCCAACAGGGAGACCAATAATATAAAAATAACAGTCAAATCATGTTGCTCCTCGGCTCAGAACCCTTCATGTAACCATCGCCCTCTCAGCGAGACCTCCTCTGGCCACGCTACGTGAGCCCGCATCTGTGCACCTATAGACCCCCACCCTCTCCACACCCTCACTACCCTCACCCTGGAGCATTTGTCTCCAACATCTTGTATATGTTTTCTGTTTAACCTTCTTTTGTCTCTTTCTCTCTCCCTTCTAAAGGTAACCTTCATGAGGACAGGGAGTTTTGCGTGTTTCCTTCATTGCCACGTTCCCAGGTGGACAGAGCCTGGCACATCGTACATCCTCAGTGTACGCTGTTGAGTCAGTGGAGTCCCACAGAGTCTCCTCCGGCAGGTGTCCCCGAGTCAGCTGGTAAACCCTCCCCACCTCAGGACCTGGTAGGAAGCCCGTAGCACCTAATGGGAGCCATGGGAGACCCACGGAAGTGGCCCTAAAGAGACTTTAGGTCCCAGTGAAAAGCAAGGGTGATCTTACTTCTGCAGGTTCCCTAACTTCTAACTTCATCTGATTGATCAGTAGAATCACCTGGGGGGGGGGGTGGAGCTTTAAAAACAGTAACTACCACAATAACAATAACCACAGCTCCTCTGGGTCTCACCCCAGGGATTCTGACATGACACGTCTGCAGTGGGCTGGAGCCTCTCCCTTTACAAAGCTCCCTAACCCCCCCTGGTGTGCACCCACCATTGGAAAATTGTCCTTTTAAGTCATATAGGCAGTTGCTTAAGCTGCCAATACTCTTTGGTTTGGGATGAAGTCAAAAATGAGATACTCGTGGGATGAGCACCTCTGGGGACTCCAGCAGAAATGAGGACACCCACCTCGTTCCCTGGGGAGAGAGGGTGGGGAGGGCAGATGTCTGACCCCAGGAAACAGAGGGTTCCTCAAGCTCTCCCTGCCCGCGAAGCCGAGCCCCTCCCCTGATGGGGACCACTGTGACCTCATTTTGTCACACCACAGTGAACAGGATCGGGGTACCACTTTCTCCCCACCACAGTAGACAGTGGCCTCTCACTGTAGCTCTGGCCTCTGTCGTGTCTCAGAGGTGGGGGGATCTGTGACATTCATCCTGCTTCAGCTTCCTGCTCACAGGCACAGCTTTGATCGTATCTTTTCATCTTCTGGTCAGAGGCTGCCCAGGGGAGGCAGTGGGGGGGATGGAGAGAGGAAGTGGGAGGGCGCGGATTCTGCTTCCTCAAATGTGGGGAATCTGAGGAAAGGATATGAGACATGTGGAGGCAGGAAGCAACTTGGCCTTGGGAGATACAGCACTCATGGCAACTGGGCGGCCAGTCTCTCAGAAGGAATGTGGACTTCTCACCATCCCTCCAGGAGGCTGAATTTCAAGACCTGCCCTTCTGGGTTTCAGGGATCCTCTGGGTGGGAGGATGCCCTGTGGTACTAGCCAGGCACTTTCCTGGGCACCAGGGACACAAGGCTGAGCAAGACAGACATGGCTTCATCTCTTGGATCAAACACTCTCTAATGAGAGACATTAAACAAATGATTATTTCAAATGTACTGCTCTGAAGGATAAGGGCAGGTCACTCTTAAGCAGCTAACATTGTGCAGTCACTAACATCTTACGGGTAACTAGTAAAAGTTTAGGTCACATCTCATGGTGGAGGCTCCGCCAAACAAGCTGTTCCCAGGTACCCTAACATTCTTTCATTCAGCAAGCTTCCACTGAGTGTATGTGACGAACTGTCCCCATGTTGCCCAACAAGACAGACAAGTCTACGTGCCCACAGAGCTTACCTTCCACAGGGAGAGATCATCAACAAATAAACATGTTGGTGCAGACATTATGGAAAACAATATGGAGATTCCTCAAAAGACTGAAAACAGACTTACCCTGTGATCCAGCAATCCCACTCCTGGGCATATATCCAGAGGGAACTCTAATTCGAAAAGACATATGCACCCCAGTGTCCACAGCAGCACCATTTACCAAAACCAAGATATGGAAACAACCTAAATGTCCATCGACAGATGATTGGATAAAGAATCTGTGGTATATTTACACAATGGAACACTACTGAGCCATAAAATAGAATAAAATAATGCCATTTGCAGCAACATGGATGGACCTGAAGATTGTCATTGTAAGTGAAGTGAGCCAGAAAGAGAAGGAAAAATACCATGTAATATCACTCATATGCAGAATCTTAAAACGAAACAAAACAAAACAAAACAAACTTATTTACAAAACAGAAGTAGACTCACAGACATAGAAAACAAACTTATGGTTATGGGTGGGGGAAGGGGTGGGAAGGGATAAACTGGGAGTTTGAGATTTTCAGATAGTAACTATTTTATATAAAATAGATAAAAACAAATTTATACTGTATAGCACAGAGAACTATATTCAATATCTTGTAGTAACTTATGGTTAAAAAGGATCTGAAAACAAATATATGTATGTTTCTATATGACT